CCCCAAAACCCCAAAACCCCAAAACCCCAAAACCCCAAAACCCCAAAGCGTACATCAATTATTGGTGTCTGTTGTCAATTAACAATTTATTACCATGTCAGAATAGTGGCAGACATTCATTTCTTTGGCTAGGTATTCAATGGTTTTGAGAACAACCAGAAAATTAATTTAAAGACAAAGTTCTTAAGCCAGGATTACCGATGATAAGACAAAATTTATTTAAAGAACAGTCGGATAAATAAACAGTCAACGGTCAGAAATAGTATCATGTAAACTTCCCTAACAAAAGAGTGAGCATTTAGGACTTTTGATTATACAAAAATTTCTGATCAATTCGATAGCATACCTGATCTAGCTGAGTCCAACATAAAGTATTGTTTTTATCTTCTAAGAAGCAGTGGTGTTTAAACTTCAGAGCGTGATATAACTCGGCTTTCGCAACCATCAGTTCCAAAGTTAAAATTTTGTAACTACAATCAGTTTTACAATAGATTAAAGAAAATATCAGAACTCAGATAATTAATAGCTAAAAATGACTATTCTCGAGTTTATGAAGGACTGGGCTGATTGTTTTTGTCAGAAAATAAATCTTTATTCCTCCCTCTGGATTTTTCCAATGGAGTTGCGAAATGTGTAATCACTTTTAAAGTACGTTTAAGTCCCAAATGATGCAACAAAGGAAATTTTTTATAACTTTTGTTAGAAAATGATATTTTAGGATTATTTCAGATGTCTGAGTAAATGCTTCTTCAAATTTCATTTTTGTGTAAACTTGGCATCACAGTAGTTTCATTTAAAAGGTCTGATGCCAAGATGCATTCTTGCGTGATCAATGAAGTTCCATGTTTTATGGAAGGTTCTATCACAGTGAGGATATTTTCAATGAATCACCCTCTTTGTTCTCTTTATATTGCCAGTCGAAGCGTATGAAATAGAACATTTATAGTCCTTTAAGATGCCAGCTTTCTCATCAATACATTTACCCTTTAGGGAAGATTCACAATTAGAAGAGTCTACTGAAAGATTGCCCAGGCTTCCTTTTGTAATTCCTTCTAAGGATTCATCATGCAAAGATCTATTCGAAGAGATATCCAGACGAATCAATTCAGAGTCATTAACACTAAAAACTCCTTTCCCCATCTTCTTATGATAATTCAGTAGTGATCTTTGGGTTTCATTAATATGCTTAATATGTCTTCTTTGGGTCTCTGCAAGAAGGCTTTCAACCTCATCATTCAAATCAGTCGTGAAAATTTGTGAGTTATTTAAGCCCCAAAAGGATTCTGGTGACACATCAACAGAATTTGGTCCTGTGATTGGCCCTAGAGGCTGGCATAATATCGGAAGAGGAACTTTGCTTTCCTCCATGAAAATAATAGGAAGCTTCACTCCTTTAAATATATCAGGATTTATAGTTTTGTCATAAATCATGCTTTCTGAAGAGCTCTTCAAGTTTTTATTTTGAGTAGTATTAAAATTCATCCTCATTGATTTAATTCTATTATAAAATCATTCTTCAACTAATATTTATACAGCTGGGGTTTTGGGGTTTTGGGGTTTTGGGGTTTTGGGGTTTTGGGG